AGCTGGACGAGTAAAGTACCCACCCCCATCATTCGCTCGACCAATGAGAGCGTCGATTCGAAGATTTCGTGACTGCAGGAATTACTCTTTAGTTTTTTCGGTAAAGTCACGTATAAATAAGAAATAATAAAATAACATAATAGCGTACGACGTTTCGGTTGCAACACAAGCAGCCATCATCAGGTACAGAAGAGCTAAATTTACGAGAGAGCAAACACATATCCCCAGACGTATATACAGACACCCAAGTAGGGGGAACTAACACAGATACAACAGGGGACACAGAGACAGAATCACACCAAACAAGCAGGGTTTAGCAAAATTTGGAAACCATATAATGCAACACAGACGGTCGGTCACAACACAATTAACGCATAGTCTGGTTGATTACGCTATTTCAAAGATTGATAAATTGCAAGTTAAGTATGAAATTTTAAAATACAGACCACACACACACACACATAGACATCCAAGCAGAGCGAACCAGCACAGAGTGAAATCGCCTTAAATAGGCAGAGAAGGTAAGGCTGAGAGACAATGGGACAAATTAGCATGAGGTGTGCATGGAGCAAAGGGGGGTGCGGAAAGTGTGGAGCAGCAGCACACACTCGGAAACACCAAGGCCCACACACAGGCAGAGACAGCACAGAGACACAAATCCAAGCCAAGACAAAGGCAGATACACAAGCAGAGACAACACAAAGACACAGACCTCATACCTCCCCGTAGAGGTGGTTTAGACTTGATTCGAAGCTTTCGTGACTGCAGGAATTACTCTTTGTTTTTTTCGGTAAAGTCACATATAAATAATAAATAAGAAAAAATAAATAAACATAATAGCGTACTACGTTTCGGTTGCAACACAAGCAGCCATCATCAGGTGCAGAAGAGCTAAATTTACGAGAGAGAGGAAACACATAACCCCAGATGCATATACGGACACCTAAGTTTCGGGAACTAACACAGATACAACAGGGGAAACAGAGAGAGAATCACACCAAACAAACAGGGTTTAGCAAAATTTGGAAACCATATAAAGCAACACAGACGGTCGGTCAAAACACGTCCACGCATCGGTGGGCACCAGGAGACAGGGCATGGCTTCACTGCCCCCAGGTGCCGGTGTCCACATCGGAAAAACTCCTCAGGCCATGGCGGGGTCCGGTATAGGTGGTTGAGGTCCTGCGTCCCCAATGTATTCAAATTCGCTGGGGACGGCGTCACTGGTTCGTTTACCCTTCTCGGTTAAAACCCTTCATCACGCCGTGCACGCCTGCGACACACACACAACACGGGGGCCGAGTGTGCGACGCGTCCGACGAGCCAGATGTTGCCCCATTGGTGCCTAACCCACAGCGCAGGTGTGTCATTCCTCCTGCAGATGACACGGGAGTGACAGCTCTGTGCAGGCCACGTTTGGCCTCGATGGACCATGGATCGTCAGGTGTCCTCGTGGAGATGCCTCAAGACCCACCTCATGACCCACCTGACGCTCTTGTTCATACTCCTGCTCCTCCTGTGCCGCCGACGAAGCCTATCATCCCCTACGATGGCTCTGCAAAACACACGTGCGCTAAATCTCGCCGGTTTTCATGATGCTTCTCTTCCTTGCTGACACGTTCTCGGTTCCTAATCGGTTTTGCTACACTCGCCGCCTGCTCTATCACATCGTGTGTATGTTCGGTGTCATGACTGATTGCCTTGTACATACGCTGTGTTGTTAGGGGGGAATTTACATGGGTTTTTTTCTGTTCTTGTGAGGCACACTCACCATTCTTCCATCGTTGATAATTTCGGAGTTGCACATTGTTGCAGCCAGGACGGATGGATTTTCCGAAGGAGGTGGTGATGTAGAGGTGTTAACTTCTCACTGTTGGGTAACCTGCATTGTCACTAGGTATCAAAGGGGCAGTGCAGCGTTACCTCTGTGTACATAACGGTTGGGGTCAGACGAGGTGAAGTGGATCGTAGCCACAGTTTGGTAAGAACCAATCAGACAGTTCCACGTGGGAATGTGGGATTGGTTACACCTGGCCACAAACGGGTATAAGAAGGGTGACCGCGCAGAGCGCGGGGAGTTCTCTCCCTACACGAAGACCGAAGCCCGGGCTGAAGATAGCCAGGACCGTGGACCCAGCCTTCCAGCCCTTCTGAAGGCTAAGGCTCGGCGTATCCAGTGGTCAAGACCAGCCGGGCCAGCGGTGGGTCAGATAGCCTCCCCTAGGTCCCAGCCGGAGGACTCTAGGATAGCGGTAGACGTGTGAGTAAGTCCCGCCAAGATAGGAGGCTGTTCCTCCTTAGGTTAGGAAAAGACCTGTGTGTAGGTCACGCTAAGTCCGGAGGCTGTACCTTCTTAGGGTATCAGGTGAGGGGACCGTATACCCCTCTGTTTGCTAAGGACTGTGTAAAGAGAAGTATTACAATAAACAGAGTGTGCCTCATAAGTTTATTCGTCATTATAAACACTACAATATCAACAATAACAACTTATTTCTTTAAGCGTTCTTTTTCATTTAATGCGTTTTTCTAAAGAGTAGATTCCTTTGATACATTATGTTCATTAAAGTTAAATTCCAACAGGTGTGTAGAGTCGCCGTGTGCATTGTGTTTGTGCAGATAGGATGCAAGTTCACATTCCAGGCAGTGTCTCAATGTCAATAACGACAATCAAAACATTAAAAGTATTTTACTCCCGTCTACACCGTCCTGGTCCAGCATCTTTCTGAGCCACACAGCGAGCGATCCGAATGAAGCCAACCACCGTTGCCTCCAGCCTGCTCGTTCCACTCCAATAACTCATTGCTCCCAGCATGCGCTGATGCTCCACTGCAGTGTTCATCAATTGGTCTCTACAAGTCTACGGGTTCCTCTGAGTGGATCTTGGAGACTTGTTCTTTTCAGTGAGTCTATGCACGTGTGGGTGTCTACGTCAGTCCAGGTTGGTGGCTATGCTTGTAGCCTCTATACCCACAATATCTGGAACTATTCAGGCAACTTCACCTGTCCCCTGTCTAATTATGTTGTTAGAACCCCCCTCATCAACTCTGCCTCGTTAACCCCCTTGATTTATTTCTGATCGTCAATAGGTGGGTACGTGTATAGGTATTCAAAGTTTAACCCACCGAGAACTGGAGAGACCAGAATGAGTCGCATCTGCAAGCTTGAACTGGTGCAGGAGTCTGCCAGTAGCAGGCGGTGATTGCAGCTGCTGTGTGCAATCACAATTGAGATAACATCTCGCCGTGGTGGTGAGATGTTAACTCCCTTGCTTGGTATGGACGAGGTCGTGGGCTCGATCTCGACCCTGACGCCGGTATATTTGTTTTTTGCATCTTTTCTTTCTCCCCCTGGTCATGTGGATTTCTCTCTGGATTCCTCAGGTTTTTCGCTCAATATTTAGAGTAATTGGCTGCTGTAAATGTCCACATTATGATAAGCCACTTCTTTGTGCTATCATATGTGATAGCCAGGTTGCTTTAAAAAATAGCTATATAGCTCAGTGGCTCTTACCTCGTAAAATAAAAATGGGAAATAATTTGCCGTGTCATTTTTGGAATTTGGAAAAATGACACTCGGTCCCAATGGGGCCTACCCTTCGGAGGATGGTGAACGTCGACTGTGCAGTAGACAGAGCAGTGACGGTGACAGCACCCGCATTCGTGGAACCACTGAAACGGAGTGGCAATAACTTCCGCAAGGCCACCTCGCTGCCCCAAAATGTGGATTAATCGATCTTTATTCCACGTGCAAATATCGCCCTCACTAAACTAGGCATCGCTGCACGTTACAGCAGGACAGAGACGGTATCGAGGGCATAGTAAAACCAAAATTGAAAAAATCCAGTCACGACCACAGTGCCCGAATGGGCAAAATAAAGTTAAACCATATGCAACGAATATATACAGTGAAAGATATATACTTCGTAAATAAAATAAATACAAATTAGAGAAACAGTTTAAAAAATACAAATGGGTGCGATTGGTGGGCAATTTGTCTTTGTGAGAACGACATTTTTTTCCATCGCATAACTCTGTGCTCCTTAACGGATGTAATTTGATTTGGCACAAGCTGAGCCAACTTTTTTTGGCCCCTATGCAAGTTAACCACGCATTGCACTACCACCATTTCCAAAGCAGTGAGGGTGGCCCGTGGTAAAAATATTCAAATATTTAACCTGGGAAATGTCCCCTCAGATGGAACCTCTCATTAACTTAAGGGTGTTCAGGGTGCCGATTGACGCGTAGAAAAAAAAAATGAGCATCATGGAGAATACAAAAATTAAAAATGCCTTCAAAATGCAACACATTAACCTGATTGCAAAAAAAAAAAAACACTCCCATACAGAAATACAGGTCTCGCCGGTTCTGCCACCCGTTCAATCCATGCACAACGCATCCGAACCGCTGTTGCCTGAGCGCAAGACTGATCAGGTTCGGTCAGGAAGCCACTGGAGCTATGGTACTTTTAAATCATAAGAATTTACAAACTAATTTCTTTAGAACTGCTTCTGAGGTGTGTTTAGTTTGTTGTCCTTCCCCTGCACCACCAAAAATCGCGGTTGGCTACGTACGATGTGAAAGAAGTTCCAAATCTATGTCTAATATTCACATGCATTGTGACAGCAACTCTGGAAATATTTTAGTTTTTTACCGAATTCGAAAAAAAATGGCTCTTGTTATTTTGTACTTGATTTGAAGCTTTCGTGGCTGCAGGAATTACTCTTTGGTTCTTTTGGTAAAGTCACGTTTAGAGAAAATAAATAAAATAATAGAGTACGACGTTTCGATTTGCAAAACAAGCAACCGTCATCAGGTAGAACTATTTTTTTTATTTTGGTTGGCGACCCTTGACCTCGGTAGAGGCACCGCGTCCATCATCAGGTGGAGATGACGGACGCTTGTGTTACGCCAGAAACATCGTGACTTTACCGAAATAATCAAAGAGTATGGATTCCTGCAGTCAGGAAAGCTTCAAATCAATAAATTTTCTGGTTGTTGAGGAGAGGCCGTCAAGCTTTTTTAGCTGCCACGACGTCTGTGCATCGCACCACGCTGTGCCTCAACATGCCCGAGGAGCAGCGTGGTGCGATAAGAAAAGACCGGAGCACTTGGGGTGGGGATGGGCTGTAGAAAGATGGATGGGGGACACGTGTTTAATAGCTGTGCGTGTGATTGGGAAATAACCCAGGTGAAATAAGCAGTGGGTGCGTCTGTGAATGATTGGGACGGGGATCTGCAGTCTTGGACAAGTTGAGAGTGAGAGGCAGTGACTGCCAGCAGTGGGTGATGGAGGCAGGTAGAGTTGGTGATAGATTCACACGGCTAGCAAAAGGCTCAAGATTCCAGGATGGGTCACGGGAGTCTACAGACAAATTCCATCTCGGATGCCACAATGAAATTAAAGCAACACATCGCATTGAGCCAATTACCCAAAGATGGAATTACAGGACATCATGAGATATCTAAAACTACACAAACTTTTAAATTTTACCAGGCAAGGCTCACTGAGCTATGTGGCTCTTTGTCAGTAGCGACCTGGCTATTACAAATGAGAGCACAATGAAGCGGCTTGTGTGGAAATTGATTGCAGCCAAAAACTAAAAACGCGTGATGTTGATTATAAATGTAGAGGGGACAATCGGAGGACCCAGATACAAATTCACGCTATCAAGGGGAGACAGATAGAGAGACACAAACTCTAAATATAAAGCAGTCATAAGGCGAGAGAGATAACTTCTCCTAGAGACTGTGGCATGCAACCCATTGCTCTGTCTTACCATAGACATAAACTTGTGCGCTAAGCTTTGGAAGGATAACTTTATCTCTCGATGCTCATTTCACGAATCAGCCATCACAGCTGAACCTCTACGACTTATATTAGCAACTATTTTTTTTTAAGTTCCTCTGATACATTTTGTTCATGTAGCGGTGTGTACAGTATCCGTGTTTAGGCTGCTGTTTGCGCACCTCGGGGCGCGGGTTCACATTCCAGGCAGTGTCTCGTGATGTCAGTGACGACAATTAAAATATTGTAAGCATTTTACTTCCTTCACCGTCGCTATAAGAGAGAGGTCCTGGTCCAGCGTCTCTCTGAGCCACACAGCGAGCGATCACAGCGAAGCCCATGGGTCATGGCGAGCGCGACTCCAAGTGAGAGTGCGGATAGTGAGCTGCGCTGCCCCATCTGCCTGGACACGTTCGACTGCCCCTCTACACTGAGCTGCGGACACTCGTTCTGCATCCGGTGCCTGGAGGCCACCTGGGAGACGGCGAGCAGCTTCAGCTGCCCGCAGTGCCGAGCGACCTTCCCTGTGCGACCTCAGCTGATGAAGAACGTGGCCCTCGGGAAACTGGTGGAGCAGCTCAGAGTTGGAGACGGGATGGCCGTAGCCGTCGTCATGTGTGACATCTGCGGTGATGGCCACACTCCTGCAGTGCAGACCTGCCTAAGATGTGAGATGTCCTACTGTGCGATGCACGCGAGGCCTCATGTAGAGAATCCCAGGCTGAGAGACCACGTCTTGGTGTCTCCCACTGCGAACCTGGAGGAGCGACGGTGCCGGGAGCACAGACAGGAGCTCATTCTTTACTGTGTGCAGGACGAGAGCCCGGTCTGCCCAGTCTGCCCCGTGGCAGGAGACCACTCCAGGCACAGGGTCATCACGGTGGAAAAAGCACAACAGACAAAACAGGTGAAGTGTCATGTTCTGTTGTAATCCACATTGTTACAGGAGGTTGAGAGATTCACATCAGCAGGTCATGACCCCTCACCTCGAGCAGGTGAGCTCCTGTTGAGACCAAACGCCCCTTTACAGGGAGACCCAGGTAGAGGTAGCAGGGAGGCTCAGATGTCGGAATGCTAATGCTGAATTGGAATCTAGTCGGTCGCCCATGGTTTTAACTGGATTCTCATATTTATTGAGTTGATGGTTTAAGCCCAGTCAACATTTGACAGCATGTCAAATCATATTTTGCATGATAATTCAAAATATGAGTTTGATTAAGTGAGAAACGTTATGATTGCGATAAGCCACTACACCCATAACTTGAAGAGGTTTAAACATATTTTAGAATGTACATGATATTTGTCGATGTTATCTCACAGGATATTGTATTGCCCCATGGTAGTTCCCATTAAATTATTCGGGGAGACGTATGCAGAAATATGACAACAGATGTGGTGTGTATGCGTTTTGAACTTATGAGACCTCGTTTGCCAGAAACAAGATATAGGAATAGGTTTTACCCTTTTAACTGGCACAAAAACTGACACCTTTATTCAAGGTATCATGTTTGCAATAACCACAACACAAGCAGTCAGAATGCAAAGAAAAAAGACAACTCTGGTAATAATATGCACTGTCCTTGAATTTGATTGGTCCACACCCGAGACAGCTTTTCTTAGAGCCTAGTCTCCATTGGTGTTGGACCAGAAGACGCCAAAAGGCGTACAACTCAAAAACAGCGCACTATCAGAGTATTGAGGGCTCGGGGTGAGCATTTACATTATACTATTCCTATATCTTGTTTCTGGCAAAGGAGGTCTCAATGTAAATGCTCACCCCGAGCCCTCAATACTCTGATAGTGCGCTGTTTTTGAGTTGTACGCCTTTTGGCGTCTTCTGGTCCAACACCAATGGAGACTAGGCTCTAAGAAAAGCTGTCTCGGGTGTGGACCAATCAAATTCAAGGACAGTGCATATTATTATCAGAGTTGTCTTTTTTGTTTGCATTCTGACTGCTTGTGTTATGGTTATTGCAAACATGATGCCTTGAATAAAGGTGTCAGTTTTTGTGCCAGTTAAAAGGGTAAAACCTATTCCTATACGTTTTGAACTTCTTTTGTAGTCATCCGTATTCATCGGGGAGATGCGGGATGATGATCTATCAGTGATCCAACCAATGGCAATGGCGAGTACCGCGTATTTATTTATTTATTTATCTGCCACAACGCAGGAGGAGCTCTTAGTCCAGAAGAAGGGGAGAGAAGAGAAGAGGAACACGGCGGCGTCACGGACACGGACGCTCAGGGATGACTACCGGCGCGTGGAGGTTTGCCTACAAATCGTATTTCATTAAACCTTAGGGTTTATTATTAAACTTCGCTCTTATCATTGACGAGCACTGCCCCACACGTTGGCATTGGATATAAATTCGGTGAATTGCAAGCGGTGTGGATTTTAAGCGAATCGTTTCCCAATGACAACTCGCTGGCTGCCTACTTTCAGTCTACAAAATAAACGACATCAAATTGTAACGGAGCAAAGTGTGAGTTCGTAGCTGTGTTTATCTGAAAAGTTTTTTAAAGCCCACTTTTTGAGCGCATAACTTTTCTGAAACTTTAATCTTCTATGAAATATATTGCTTTCGTGTATGTTTACACATCAGGAAAAAAATGTGGAAAACATTACAACCGGTTTAGGATGACCCAATTTGCAACACACGTTTACGACGTGATGAGAAGGTCTCCACGGAATTACACAGAAACTTCATTTATGACGTAACTTCCAACATAACAGCAGTTTTGGTTTACGAGGGGATGGAATCGATCCGCGCTGGACGATGCGTTGGCGACTTGCCCTATCGATTCCTTTATTGATCACAACCACGATGCTTGCCATGGAAGGTTGCGATTCCTCCCTTCTGACCCCCAAAATCTGGACAGCACCAACTTAGCCTGAGTGCAAGGGAGAGTCGACGTGAGTATTGCCTTATAAATCAGCATAGTTTGTCTATTTAAGCATAATTTCGCTTAAAACAATAGAGCAATGCCACGTGAATTTGTTCTGTATATTCGCAAACGTTTCACACAATTTCCTGGGAATGTCCTCGGCAAGAGACTTGGTTTTAATTTAATTCGCATTTCCCTCCGACGCTTCGTTTGGTAGATCCAGTGGGACGGACAGACAAACAGATGTGAATGATACCCATAGAGATGTATTTAATTTCCCCCAGAAAGACACTCAACAACGTGTAGCTACAGACAGAAGTTATTCATATACTACCATTGCCTATGACATTACCCCTTTCATCCCATTCTCATTCTCTCTGTGCTATATATGTTCACGAGCTCCCAATGCACACGTCGCCCATCCTCCGTGTACATAATCGAGGCAATGGTAACAATCATTGACTGTACGACACCACATTGCGTCGTTACCTAACAAGTGACTCAACAATTCGGCACTGTCTGTGTAGGAGTATGTGCGTGGGGTCAAGGTGCGGATCAGCCGAGAGTTTGAGCGCCGGAGGGAGCGGCTGAGGGAGGAGGAGAGGGAGGCGCTGGAGTGCGTGGACGAGGAGGGCTGCTCCGTGCTGTCCCGCATCCAGGCGGACATCGATCACTACAATAGAAGAGCACGTGACCTGGAGCAGGAGATCAACCAGCTGCTCGCTGCCCTCGCCGTGCAGGACCCGCTCTCCTTCCTGCAGGTGGCACCACCTCCATTCACTTGCCCTGGTGGCTCGGAGATGTTAACTACCTCGCCTGCTATGTAGGAGGTCATGGGTTCGATGCCAACCCTGACGTCTGCTGTATATCTGGAGTTTGCGTGTATCTCTCCCCCTTGTCGTGTGGAATTTTCTCCGGGTCCTCTGGGTTTTCCCTCCACATATAGAATCATGCATTTAGAGAATTTGGCTGCGATACAGTTTCATACGATAAGCCACTTTGTTGAGCTTTCATTTGTGGCAAGGTTTCTTCTGAAAAAGAGCCTTAAGTGGTAAAATAAAAAAAATAGTTTATATTCACAGCCTTGGTTTATTAGAAGAGGGTTTATCTACAACCAGGAGAGGCGCACCACCCTGTGAGACGTTGACATTGTTGGCAATCTTATTTCAGTGTTTTATGATCTGGGAGCAAGCGGTAGTGTCCAGAAATAGACGCGCGTTTGCTTCCGTGTGACATTCAGACCTGGACTTGTCCAGTACAACATCGCCATCTTCCTCGCCTGCTATACAAGAGGTCGTGGGTTTGACCCCAACCCTGATGATGCCTGCTGCTGTATATTTAGAGTTTGCGTTTTTCTTCTCTCTCTCCCCATGGTGGCGTAGATGTTCCTCTGGATTCTCCAGTTTATCCCCTCCACGTTTAGAATCAATATCACGTGTTTAGAGTATTAGGCAGCTGCTATAAATTTCCACTTGATAAGCCCCTTTATTGAGCTGTCATTTGTGGCTAAGTTGCTTCTGAAAAAGAGCGACATAGCTGAGTGGGCTTTTCCTGGTAACATTTTTAAGAAGTTAAATTTATTCAGAGTTGAACGCACGAGTTGATGCGCGTTATTAAACCACTCGTGTAGGTGCTGGACCAGGCCTGTAAAGAGCGGTTTTGTAATTTTTAGACATCCGTCTGTGTCCAGTTAAATGAACCATGTTTTTCACCATTCTCTGTGTACAGGTATTTGTTAATTCCCTGATGTCGCACTCCACTGTTAATTAGCAGGCGACTGTGTGGAGGTGGGGCATCTGTTTAAGATGTGAATGTTAATCTGAAATGCGGGTTTGTGTTTTTCAGGATCCTCTGCATGAGAGTTTCAGGTCAGTAACAACCCAGACTCAAACTCGAGCTCTGTCTGCCACCTGGTGGACAAATCAGCAAACGGTCGTGATGTGATTCTTATTAAACCAAATTGTATGCAGTCGTATCCCCATATGGTCAATTGTATCCCATAAAGGTAGTCCTCGGATTATGCACGTAATTTATTCCTGAGACTCGTTCGTAAGTCGAATGGTTCATAAGTCGGAAAACAATAATGCACCGTACTGAAATGCTGACATGGTTATAAAATGTGTTAGGGTTCAACAAAGAATTAAGCATTGTTAAACTTATAATTAAGAAAAAATGCTGTACATTTGCATCTAACAATGTAAAAAAAAACCTGTATAGTAAATTAAACATTAAATAAATTAACAAATACAAAACAAATTTTATTTTCACTTACATTGATGCTAGCCTGCAGTTGGAAGGTTGGCAATTAGTCAGCACAACAAACGTGGCACGCATGCACACACATCGACAAAGACACCCCAACGACAATAATCCCCCGTGTAGCCTTAACAGGCTGTTTTTGGCAAGTCCTCTCAGCGAGCAGTGCCCAAGATGGCCGCCACTGTGGCACACGAGGGGGTGGGTGGCCAGCATCACAGCCCGCTGCTTTTGTCGCCCCGGTGGCGATGTTCACCCACCACACCAGGTACACCAGGTACTGGTGTGGCGCAGTGCACTCACCGCTATGCGACCGCTCCCCACACCAATACCAATACTCAACATTCACCACTAAGTGACTGTGACGTCACCACGGCGCCTGTACCAGGCCAGGTGCACTTTGAGGCCACGTGAAATGTCAAATGTTCGCTGACAGGAGGTCTCGGGACAAACCCAGGTGCCATGGTTTGGCTTTGATTGAGATGACTGGTAGATGCACCGCTGTACCCCCCACACTTTCACACACACAATGTCTGTACACACGTAAACACTCCCAGCACGAGGCCGACTCATTACATCTCGCGGAGGATTGCTCCTCTGAACAAAATAGTTCTGATGTTCAGTTTGCAACTGCGAGTTTGCATTTTAAGTCAAAGTTATTTTTTTATTTCATGGAAGCTGGTTTGTAAGCATGGGCGTTCGTATGTCGAGGGCTGCCTGTATTGCCCATTTGTAGAGAGACATGAACCCTGATTAGACTCTGTATGTGCCCCGTGCTATGAGTGCAGAAAAAGCTCCATCTCTCAGGAGACTCAGAATGACCCAGCCCCTGCCTTCAGCCGCCTGAACCTCGCAAAAGTAATCTCAGTGGGAGGCATCCGAACGAATCTCCTGGCTGTTGTGTGTAAGTCTCTCTGCTTCACTCATAGCTGCAGCCCCATTCGCTACAAACACAAAATCAGCACCACGAGGCGGGCCTGTGTCGTGTATTAAAGCCAGGCGAGAGTGCACAGGCACTTGCCAACATGGGAGGGGGAGACGTGAGGTGGATTCAGCGATACACGCGGTCACTGAGGTGAAAACAAAGAGAGGCAGTGTATCAAGAGGTACATCACGCAGCGGACAGAGTGTTGCTTGAGAGCAGCACGGTGGCCGTCTAAGCCAGGGGTCGGTAGCCAACATAACAATAAGATAATTTAGTTTGATTCCAGTATGTAAAAAAAGACAATTCTATATTTCAAAAGCCACTGCAACGCATGAGGTGAACAAGAGACGGTGGTGACCTTGATAAATAACATCATGAAGCGGTCCCTTAAGGAGAGCCGTAGGTTACAGACCGCTGGTCTAGGGAGATCAATC